TTCTAGCTCGGTTCAGCTGGCAGAAATCCGTGCACAAAGGGAGCCCTTTCACTTAACAAGATTCATTTCAAATTTCTTTAACAAATTATTTCTGAGCTCCATAGTAACAAGGTTATTTTGCTTTTGCACTATGCAAAGCGGGCCTTTTCCTTTTTTCTCTTCGGTTAAATGGAATAAGTTAATTCATTGTCAGCTTCTTTGTTTCCTCCGACCTCTTTCCCCCACCCCTCTTCCAAGCTTATCGAGTTGCTGATAAAGGCCAGCAGTTACTAGAGCTCAGGATTATTCCTTATGTCACTGGAAGGATCTGTTTCTAGGGAAGATGGAATAGATTCAAGAATTGCCCAGTACAAGGTTGTGTGCAAGCCCCTGCTTGGTCAGCGGTAGTGAATAAATTGCATTGCAAGGAAGGAGGAAAGGAAAGGGCTCTGCTATCCGTGAGGATGCTGCTGCTGGTCTCAGCCAGAAAGTAGACCTATGGAAAACAGCTGCTGAATGGCAAGACCCCACTTGAGTAAATCCCACTGCGTCAGTAGAGCTCATCTAGTTGAGATCAGCAGCAGGAAGCTGGCAGTTATTTTATTTTATTTTATTTTATTTTTAAAACATTGCCTCTGCCCATAACAGGTCTGAAGGGGATGGGCAGCCTTAAAAAGAAAGGGCAGGAGCCTCTTCCATCAATGCCACTTGCACAACAAATGAAGTGCAAGCAGTTTAACTTTCATTTGCAGAAGGTGGTGCGCAAGACCTAAATGAGCCTCGTTGGGGCAGGGGTTAAACTGCGGTAAAGGTTCCCCTTGACATTTTTAGTCCAGTCGTGTCCGACTCTTGGGGGCGGTGCTCATCCTGTTTTCAAGCCGTAGAGCCAGCGCTTGTCCAAAGACAGTTTTTGTTGCCACGTGGCCAGTGTGACTAGGGAACGCCGTTTTACCTTCCCACCGAGGTGGTACCTATTTATCTACTCGCATTTGCATGCTTTCGAACTGCTAGGTTGGCGAGGAGCTGGGACAAAGCGACGGGAGCTCGCTCCGTCGCGTGGATTTGATCTTACGACTGCTGGTCTGACCCTGCAGCACAGGCTTCTGCAGTTTAGCCCACAGAGCCACCACGGTACTGCAGCCAAAACTGTGCTCACGATCCGGGGTTCAATCCCAGGTAACGGGCTCAAGGTTGACTCTGCCTTCTATCCTTCCAGGTTTGGTAAAATGAGTACCCAGCTCGCTGGGGGAAAGCAAAGTGTAAGGTTCCCCTTGACATTTAGTCCAGTCACGTCCGACTCTAGGGCGCGGTGCTCTCCCCGTAGAGTCAGCGTTTGTCCGAAGACTGTTTCCGTGGTCACGTGGCCAGCGTGACTAGACATGGAATGCCGTGACCTTCCCATGGTGGTACCTATTTATCTACTCTCATTTACATGCTTTCAAACTGCTAGGTTGGCAGGAGCTGGGACAAGCAGCGGGAGCTCACTCTGTTGATTGGATTCGATCTTATGATGGCTGGTCTTCTGACCTTGCAGCACAGAGGCTTCTGTGGTTTAACCCACAGCGCCACCACGTCCCTGGGGCAATGTGTAGCCTGCATCATTAACTTGTAAACCAGCCAGAGAGTGCTTGAAGTGCTATGGCGTGGTCTGTAAGCAGCATGCTTCTTTGCTTTTGCGCCGACGGAGCCTCCATTGGGTTCTCTTAGAGTAGCTGGTGCAATGGAAGGAGAGGGTAGCTTGTGCAAGGTGTGGGAATGTATGTCCCATATTGCAGCGCTCCCCGAACCATATGCTCTCTGCAGGTGCCCAGTGAGATTCTAGCTCCTGTCATCCCATCGAGGGCTGAGGAAGAACGGGCCCGTCGTCAAAATGTCCAGGGAGCGGAATAAGTCAAAAGTGGAGCCTAAATCAAAGAGCAGAAACCACCTGCCCGGAGCTAGGCAAAGAGTCCTTAGGGGGAGAAGCCCCACCGTCAGGCTCCTGCTGTAAAAAAAAAGGGGGGGGGCAAAGGGAGAATGTCAGACGGTTCTTTTCCTTTCCGCTGTTGCCTTGCCGAAGTGCTACCGTACGTGTGGCTAAGAGGGTTGGCTGTGAGCCAGGGATGGCCAGAAGGCATGCTGCGCCCTGTGATCGGATGTGTTTATCTCCCTTGTTGGTCTCCTCCCTGCAGAAGAAGCAAGGGGAGAACGTGGGTTAACATACAGAGCAGTAGTATGGGGTTGGACCCTTCCTCCGAGCCCGCAGTGGTTGGGAAAATGGTGAGCGTTTGTTGAGGTGACATTCATAGGGGTAAAGCGATCCATCGAGCATGCTTTCAGGCAGGTGGGAGAACAATCCAGAGAGGAGCTTGCTCAACAGAGGTTTAAGAGAGTCCCTCCAGGCCAGGCGAGGAGGGACGGTTGCAGCTCCCGATGGGTCTCTGCAGTCGTTTTAGTATCAGGTGGCTTTAAGGTTGTTCAGACGCCCTGCTTGCCGGTTGGACAACGTGGGCCGTTGGCTGGTGCTGGGTGCCAACGTTTACGTAGCACATGGACACCACACAGAATTGTCGGGGAACCAGCTGAGGTTGTCTTGTAGAATCAGTCTGGTGCACGGTTCCTGGAGGGAAAGCTCAGCCCGCGGTGCCCAAGACGAGAGTCCTTCCCGGGGAGCTGGGAAGGAGCTAGGACTGTCGGAGAAGCCAATGGCTTGTGTCTCATCCATCCTCTTTCCTGCTGTCAGCAAGGCCGGATGCGACAAGAAGCCCCAAAGCAGGTGTCTTCTCATGGCCTGGCATGCAAGTGTCTCTTTGCCTGCCAAGGTGTTTTGCGGACAAGGGGAAACCTTTCTTTGGTAACAAACAAACAAACAAACAAACAAACAAACAAACAAACAAACAAACAATCCTGCTGTCAGCAAGGCCGGATGCGACAAGAAGCCCCAAAGCAGGTGTCTTCTCATGGCCTGGCATGCAAGTGTCTCCTTGCCTGCCCAGGTGTTTTGTGGACAAGGGGAAACCTTTCTTGGTTGCAGTCTTGGAGGCTGTTCTGAATCAGCCCAGCGTGGTTTTCCACTGGCAGAGCAGAGTCCCTTGGGAAGGGCTCCCCGGCCCCTTCAGGTGGGGACTTTGGGGTGATAATTTTCCTTCAGAAATTTAATGGCGGTGGAGTGCAGATGTGCTGGCAGCATTAATAATTACACTCCAGGCCCCTTCATAATTTATCATGTTGCAGTCTTAGAGGATGTTCTGAATCAGCCCAGCGTGGTTTTCCACTGGCAGAGCAGAGTCCCTTGGGAAGGGCTCCCCGGCCCCTTCAGGTGGGGACTTTGGGGTGATAATTTTCCTTCAGAAATTTAATGGCGGTGGAGTGCAGATGTGCTGGCAGCATTAATAATTACACTCCAGGCCCCTTCATAATTTATCATAACGACGCTGTTTGTTGCAAATGAGAGCCGGCTCCCCCCCTCCTTGCCCCTGTTGAGCTCGAAGCAGATCGTAACTGCCGATAATGACATTGATTGCGGGCTCCGAGGAAATGGAGTTGGCTTTGTAGAGGAGTTTTAATTTAGCAATCGTTCTGGTGATGTAGCCTCTTCTACGGTACATTACTTTGCGTCCGAACAAACCATGTGCTCCCCTAGCCCCTCGTTATAGCTGCGGTCTCATTGCTTTTTAATTAAAAAAAAAGGAGAGAGAGAAAAAAATAAGGACAAGCAACCTAGAGTGTCTCCGGCCTTGATCAGTGGAGGCCAAAGGAAATCCTTGCAGCTGTTTCAGAACTTTTAACTTGCCACTTCCAGCTGGGTGCAATAGATGCTTCTTCTGAGGGGAGGTGGACTCAGCAGCGTCCTTCCTGCTGGAATGCTTTTTTCCTTAATTGGATCTTAATGAGGGTGGAACTGCGCACGGCTCCTCTTGAGTGTCTGTTTCCGAACTTGTGTTTGCTGAACTAACGTGAGTGCAAGGAGAAAGGAGCCTTTGCAGGGGAAAATCTCCCCTTTGGCTGGGCTTTCCTTCTGACTGGAAAAAAAGCAGGTGTAAAAATGAACAGAGGGCATTAGCCAGAGAGCTCAGGGGCAGGCAAACACACCTTTCCTCTACTGACTGACACCCTTCAGACAAGCGCCTCCGCTCCCCTCCCCTTTTCCCTGTGCCACAAGGCAAATATAACGTTTCCTTGGCTTTATGTGTGTTCAACGGGCTGCTTTCTTCTTGGATGAAGACTAGAGCCTTTTAAAAGCAGACTTTTTATTAATGTTGGCCTGGGATTTTAAGTTGCTCAACTTTTCTTTTGTATTTAAAGTTGGGTTGGCTTGTGGCAGGGGAGTAAATATGTGTTGATATAAATTGTACGTCTGTATGTCATTGTGTACTATTTGACTGAAATAGCGCTATGCACTATGGGGCGATATCCATGTTATATGGATGGATGAATCTCCTCCACCTTTGGCACCTCCCTTGTTGGAAATTCTGAGGCTTTGTTGCATGGAGAGCCATGCCTGCTTTTGGTGTAGGCCAAGAGTGGCTTCTAAGCAAGAAGGACCTGCTGTTGCTACTACGTTCCGCCTCTTAAACACATCTCCAGGTGACTTCGATTTCTGGGATTCTGATCTGTTCTTCTTGCCTGAGGGTTTTGACCCATTCTTGACTGGTTTGTTACCAAAGACGTGTGTATAGGACGTCAGAGGTGATGTGAGCCCTGTTGCCTTTGCCCCTATGGGTGCTGTTGTGCCTGCATTTCTTCTGACACCATAGGCTCTCGGACAAGCACTGCTCCCTGCAATAAGATTAGAGGGGCTACCGGGATGTCCCTTCTTCTGCTGCTGGTAGTTCGGAGGAAAGGCTCCCAGCCATTGAGGTGAGACTCAGTGGCTCAGCTGCCCTTGGCCCACTGCGTTCCCGCTTCTAGGCTGAACCCTGCCTAGCCTCTGTCTCTAACTCTGCTTCAGCCTCTAAAAGACGTTGGGTCTTCTAAAACAGTTGGTGTACAAGAGGCAAGGGAGTAGTGGGCTTCCTTGATTTGATTTTTTCTCTTCGTAGCCAAATCGAGGGACGAAAAGGCCTCGTGAAGATGAAGACGATGATGTTAAAGCCCGGCACAAGCCAACCAGCCAACGGGAACGTGGCCGTCACCGGGAAGAGGAGGTCCCCGCCGCAGAGGAGATGGAGGACGAGAAGAAGAAGCTGCTGCACATCATAGAGAAGGGTGATGAGGAAGAGGAGGAGGTAGGTGTATCGCCTTGTGAGGCTGGGGTGCCTTGCTGTCTCTTTCGGTTTCCCACTAAGGCAGGGGTTTCCCCACCCTGGGTCCCCAGACATTCTGGGACCAAAACTCCCAGAAGCCTCCACCACAAGCTGCGCTGGCCAGGATTTCTGGGAGCTGTAGTCCAAGAGCATCTGGAGACCCAAGGTTGGGAACCACTGCACTGAGGGGTGTGCACAGAAAACACCGTCTGGCCTGCCCTTCAGACAGGAGGCTAATTTGACTGGAAGAGCTTTGGAAGGAAGGCAGCTTTGCCTTGAGCTCAAAGTAGTTTTATCTCTGGGAAGTCCCAGCCTTCGAGCCTCCCTGTTGAACCACTAGGCAAAATCGACAAACTGCTGCAGCCGCCTTGAGTCCCACTGCCGGGGAAAAGGCAGCCTAGATGTGCAGCAAGGAAATAAATGGCATCTTTGCCCCAAACCCTTGACCTACAGGATGTGATGCAGGTGGAAATTAATGTCTTTTTGCTCAGGAGGAACCACTGGACGAAAGCTCTGTAAAGAAGATGATCCTTACTTTCGAGAAGCGGTCTTACAAGAACCAGGAGCTTCGGATCAAGTTCCCCGATAATCCAGAGAAGTAAGTCTTATAAGGGATTGGCTTTTTTTCTCGAAGTGGTTTTGTCGTGTTTGGCTTCCATTTTATGGAGAGGGTGAGAGGGCAGGCTTCTCATCCCGAGTTAAAACTTGGCTGGCTTTCAAATCAAAGCTGCTTTAGAGATTGAGAGCCAAAGTAGTTTGCAAGGCTCCAGACTTTGTTTCATTCCTTAGAAGGAAAATCAAAATTATGCTGCAAGTAGGTTTTGGAGCCAAGCTCTGTGCTTGTCTGGGGTAAACTAGCAACAGTTTCTAGCATATCCCTTGAAAATCAGGAAAAACCTCCCAACTGTTAGAGCAGTACGACAATGGAACCCATGACCTCAGGAGGTGGTGAGCACTCCCAACACTGGAGGAATTCAAGAGAAATTTAGAAAACCACCTGGCAGATATCCTTTGATTTTTACCCCTATACTGAACAAAGAGTTGGACTCAGTGGCCTAAGAGGCCCCTTCTCATTCCATGATTCTACAATTCTGTGATCCCACAATTTCTGAATTTGTACGTTCAGATTTCCCCCGAGCTGAATATCTTTGCAAGCAGTGTGAATCGGCAATCTCATCTCTAAGATAGGGTCGGCTTTGGTTGTAACTGTCAGATCTGGCAGGCTGTTATTCAGGGTGAATCTCTGCCCTGCTGTTGATTGGTATCCAGAGCCAACGGGCTTTGCCTGAGACTCTTATTTTGCCAGCTCTAAATCAGAAGCGGGGTTTGAAAGTAGCAGGAGAGACTTTATTGAACCTCATGTGGCCGAGGACAGTGGCGTATCGAGGTAAACCTTATAAAGCAGGAAGCAGCAGGGTTGAGTATAGAAGAAGCTGACAGGCAGTAAGAGCAAAAAGAGGTTCTCTCTTTTTGCGAATATTAGCCATCTGTGGGGAAGTCGCTCTTCTTGTCCTCGCCCTGCGAGCAGCCGCTTAACAAGGCTTATCAGAGGACTCGGTGAAATGACAGAAAAGAAGAGCTGGACTCGCCAGCAAAGGAGAGCTGTCCACCTCCTGAGATCATTTCATTGGCAAGCTGCTCTTGCTCTTACTGTCAGGAGGGTCTGCTTAATGTTTAGTCCGGATCTATTGATTTGGGCCCTGCCCTCTGAAGGAGCAGAAACTTGCTCCTTCTTCCACGTGACAGCCCATCCAATATCTGAGGTTGGCCATCACCCAAACCCCTCTAGTCTAAATGTTTCCCCAGTTCCTTTTGCTGCTCTTGCTGTGGCTTCATCTTCATCCCCTTTTGCTTACCTTTGGTGCCAACTCACCTTGGGAGGTTCTCCAGCTTGTCAAGACATAAGGGTCCCTTCCAACTCTGCAATTCTGAGATCATGATCTCTCTCAAACTGTGTCGTCCAAGCACTGTGATAAGAGTATCAGCTCCAGAAGTGAAGTAACAGTGTCTTACTGTTGGCAGAGTGGACCATTGTGGAGCCCACTTTTCTGTAAATAAACCTGCGAATGGGCTGCCCAAATGCCTGGCTTGATGTAAATTCCATCGTGTTGGTTCCTCAGGGACTCTGCAGCCGAGGGCGCCAAAGTGGTTCCACTTTCTATTTCGGTGTGTTAACTGATTTTATATGGAGACAACGTGTCCGCACTTGCATCTACATATATGTGAAGAATATTTTTGTCTGGCAGATATTTTTCAAAACTACATTTTAGTTCTGTTGCCCATTTACAATTTGGCAGTCTGTTGCCAGAGAGCTCTATGGCTTATGAACTTGTAACCTGCCACCGATTAAGCTTATAACTGTTATCCCTCAGCAATGTAGAAAGTATCTGTACGGACAAGAGTCGGCTTATCTCTTGGAGGTTCACTGTAGAGCTTTCATCATTAAGATGACTTGAGCCTGCTGTGCTGAGGTATCTCCCAAGAAAGAGGTGTCATGCGCTATACCTGGGAAAGAATCGTTTCTCAATTTTTCTTGGACTACAGCTCTCTGGGCTGTGTTGGCTGCGTGAGGATTGAAGATATGTTGAGCAGAGAGCTATCTGTGTAGTTGATGAGCTTGAAGTCAGGATGATCCATCTCAATAGTTGCAGGTGATTCAAAAGGAAGAAGCCGAGGTGGTTGCTCTGAATAAGGCAGAACTGGGTCGCAGGTGGAATTCGTACCTCTGTAGCTGAAAGTGCTTTGGAATCAGGAATCGAGGCTTTTTAAAGAGTCACTGTTTCAGAGCTTCTTGTATGAAATCCGTATCTGTATGCAGCCAAAAAGGAGTGATCTTGCCTCAAAACAGCAAGGAGCAGTTAGAACCCTTTAGGGAAATGGGAACTGCTGCCGTGTGGCTGATAAAACCCAGAGGACGTTTTTCTCTCTCTGGTTTCTCAGTGTTGCATCAGGCAATCTTGTCCAGTGGTTAAATCAGCCTCAAGGGATCTGTCTAGCTTCCGTGGACAGAACAGATGGCCAGAACTGCCCAAAGCGAGGCCTTGGTCTTATGAATGTCATCTCTAGGTGAAGAAAGTGTTCCATTGGCATCTTCTTCAAGCCACCCTCCAAAGTCTCATGTTCGCATCTGTTGGGCTATGCCCAGTGCTGGCATTCGGGAGCCGGAATGGTAGGATTGAACGGAGTTGGGACGGGAGCCGTTTCCCTTCCCTACTCAGGAGGTGCTACTCTGTTCTGCCGTGCTTGGAAGCACATGGCCATTTCCTGGGGCATGCCGAGCACACCTGTGCCCCTTCCTGCTTCCTTCTTCTCCACCACCTGCCTTCTCTCTTAACCCAACCTGGGGCGACCCTGTCTTCCCAGGCTCGGCTCCTGTTCTTCTGGCTTGATCTGAGCTTTGCTTGTCGTGCCTTTGACAGCGTTGTGTTCCTTTGAGTGGACACCTTCCCATCCCTCCTGCTTCTCCAATTTCTCTTGGAAATCGTAACTCCTGCAGGTTCTGAACAACTTGAGTGCACCTTCACTGCAGCTCTGCAACGCGGGCCAGGATTGCCCTATCTGGCAGGCCTGGAGGCGTGGGGGGGGTGGCTCTGGGAGGGCAGCCCTGGGCAGAAGGGCCTCCGAGCAGCCCCACAGAGGTGAGGTCTGAACTGGAGCTTTGGAGGTTTGCAGTTCCGCTGCTGAGACTTAGCCGCGTGCTCCTCGAGGCTTCCTTTCCTCCAGCTTGTGCTCCTCAGCCTCCCTTTATACCACTCCGGTCTCCCTCCCACCTTCTTTGCTCCTGCTTGTGTCCTCGGGGATGGTTTTTACTGTTCTTTGCTTGACTTTGCCACTTACCAGGTGCAGACAGCCCCCCTAACCTCCCCAAGCTGTTTTTCATCATTTTTACGAGGTACTCAGAACTGCCAGGTTTGCTGAAGGGTGCTTCCAGCTGCAGCTGACAGTTAGCTCATGAGAGCCACTGCGTGTTGCATCCAGGGAGTTTGGGGAGAACATGCTGTGCCAGACTGAAGTGGGGGGTGGTTTTTACGGCGTTGTTGGAGGTCTCTTGAGTGGCAGTTCGAAAGTACAAGGTTCCCATCCTCTTGCCATCTAAATTAAAATATAAACAGATAATAAACAGGACCCCACATTTCTCCTAAAAAGACCCAAGGCACAGAACTAAAAAAACCATTATAAAAGCTAAAAACAATAAATTATTGTTATATTAAAAGCAAATTAAAAATATATAAAAACTCATAGATAAAAGTAGTATTGAAAACAACAGAAATACAACTGTCTTTTTAAGAATTGCACTTAGATAGCCAATTGCTAAAAGACAGCTTGCTTGAAGATAAAGGTCTTCGTCTGCTTTCGGAAGGACAGCAAAGATGGGGCTAGCCCAGCCTCCGGTGGCAGGGAGTTCCAGAGTCTGGGATCAGCCGCAGAGAAGGCTCTCTCCTGTGTCCCTACACCCAATGTGTCTATGAAGGTGGTGGGACTGAGAGAAAGGCCTCCTCAAGGATCTGAACACCTGGGCAGGCTCATAATGGGAGAGACGGCCTTTGAAATAGCTTGGGCCCAAGCCATTTAGGCTTTCTAAGTTAGAACCGTCCCTTTGAATTCATCTCAGAAATGAATCAGCAGCCAGTGGACCTGCTGTAACAGGGGGGTTATATGATCCCTTTAACCAGCCCCAGTTCCACAATGTGGCTGCTGTGTTTTGGACCCATTCACGCTTCTGGACACTTTGCGAAGGCAAGCTCCACGCAGAGGGTGTTGCAGTAATCCTACTTGATTGTTTGTAGGTGAAGGTGAAAAATCAGTGGAAGGGACAAGAGCCGATCTCTCTTTTCCCCACCCCATAAACAAATAAAGCAGAACAGAAATGAGGTGGGCTTGCAGGGCCTTGTCGTCTGTTCACGCATACAAGCTCTGCTTTCTTCTCCTCTTTGGTATATTGAGAGGCAGGTGACAGGAATTAGGAACGGGGTAGGGGTGTAAGAACAGGGGACTTGAGAGTCTGGACTGCAAGGAGAACAAACCTATCAATTCTAAAGGAAATCAACCCTGAGTGCTCACGGGAAGGACAGATCCTGAAGCTGAGGCTTCAGTACTTTGGCCATCTCATGAGAAGAGAAGACTCCCTGGAAAAGACCTTAATGTTGGGAAAGTGTGAAGGCAAGAGGAGAAGGGGATGACAGAGGATGAGATGGTTGGACAGTGTCACCGAAGCAACCAACATGAATCTGACCCAACTCCGGGAAGCAGTGGAAGAACAGGAGGGCCTGGCGTGCTCTGGTCCATGGGGTCACGAAGAGTCAGACAGGACTAAACGACAATGATGGGCGGTGTAGGTGGTTGGGAGAGGGAGCAGAACCTGAATGCCCATCTTAGCTTTTCTGTCTGGCTTTCCCAGCATGTCTGGCTTCCTTCTCTTCCTCGTCCTGAGTAAGGCAAGCAGGAAGATGGACAAAGGCAGGGATAAACCAGTGAGAAGAGGAATCCTTTCCTTGTTTCATCCCAAGCACCTTTCTTCTCTCCTCTTTAGCCCCTCCCCGAAGAAGCAGGCAGAGTCTCTGATCTGCGGGCGCTCACGGAAGGGCTGGTCTGAGCTCCCCAGGAGGCCAGCTCCCAAATGCCTGGAAGGTGAAATGCACCTTTAGGATCAAAGCCCTTCCTTTACGCGAGCGCCTCTTTGGCCGACACTTGGAACAAGGCGAAAGGTGTCCTCCTTAAGTGCATAATCTGTGAAAAAGCAGTGGAGCATTTTTTTTCCCGAGTCCCAGCAAAATGAAAATCCAATCAACTTTCCCTTCAACCTGAGCTTTTTGCCTTGAACCGTGTCAACGTGGTCCTACAAGAGTGCCTGCCCTCCCCCAGTTTGACTGCCCAGTTGAGGTTTACCAAAGGTGTGGGGTGTTGAACCCCCAGTGTTGATCTGGCGGTTGTGGCGCCCCCCAACTAGAGAGAGCTGTGGGATCCTGTGCCCCGATGGACAGTCATTACTGACTGACATGCGTGCATTCGGCACACTGAGTCTTTGCTACAGTCCCGTAGGTTTCAATTTCACCAACTGCCTGCATTCTTCCTGCATGCTTTCTCTCCTGAATGACAGGACTGTAAATTAAATTATGGGGCTTAGCTGAACTTGGGAGTAACCTATAAAACAAACGGTGAGCAGATTTCCGTCTTGTGGGATTTCCTGCTAGAACCCTGAGATGCACCAGCGGGAGTGCCATGTTGGTAGATTCGTGCACAGTCTGCCTCTGAGCATATATACTCAGCCCTAGAGTTTGGTGTTCAGTAACAGCATCAACCTTACAAATCTTTTTAGCAATCCATTTCAAATGAGTTTCCTTTTCAGAGATTTTCATATGTGTGTGTGTATGTGTGTGTGCAGCATCAACCTTCCAAATCTTTTTAGCAATCCATTTCAAATGGGTTTCATTTTCAGAGATTTTCATGTGTGTGTGTGTGTGTGTGTGTGTGTGTGTGGTGTTGTGTTGTGTTTTGTTTTTAAATATCTTTCAGACGGATTTAATCCAGTGCTTCTTTTTAGTACAATAATGTATTTACTTCTGTTTTAATCTTACAGTGTATTGTCTTTTTAATTTGCGCCGTGAGCTGCCTTCCGTCATGCGCTGAGACAAAGGCAGGATATAAATAAAACAGGGATGGCAGACTGCTGGAACCTACTCCGATCTGCCAGGGCCAGCCTGCCCGATTTTGCTCCTCCTGGCATATGGGTTGGTGGTGGTGGTGGGGACTTCAGAGTCTGTGCAAAGAGCATAAATTGGGCTTCAGGTTCTGGGAGTGCCATCGGCTTTGGTGGATGCCGGTGAGAGGCAAGAGTCTGGTTCTGGCACTGGGGATGCTTGTGGGTTTTGCTGTGTTCATCGCTGCCTAGACAAGAACAGCTATTGGGGGGCACTGGGGCCTGGACAGTAAGCTTGGGTCGTGTGAGGGCCAGAAAAACGAGGGTGGGCAGGACTGAGGGAGGTGGATACCTCGGAGGGAAGCAAAGGGCTTTGGAAAGGGAAGGGATGGGGGAAAGAGGAACAAAACCCTAGAAACAGCCTGGTTCAGGAATACTTTCCTTGTGAATGAGAAGCAGAAATCTTGGGGCGGAAGCTCTGGCCCCCGTTGCAGGCCATGCGGCTCCCTGTTGTCCCCGCCTCCACTCCCCACCCCACCGACAGTTCTCTCCCATGATCTGCTGTGGCCTCTGTGTCTCTGGGGCAGATTTCCGGTTGACCCGACTGAGCTTTGCCTTGCCTCCTTCTCGACAGGTTCATGGAGTCGGAGCTGGATCTCAACGACATCGTCCAGGAGATGCACGTGATCGCGACCATGCCCGACCTCTACCACCTCCTGGTGGAACTGAACGCGGTCCACTCCCTCCTGGGGCTGCTGGGCCATGACAACACCGATATCCTTACTCGGCGAGCGAGCCAGGCTGGTTTCCTCATTCCTCCCTTCCAGTCTTCCTTTCGCTGCTTTGCCCCTTCACGTGGAGGGTGAGTTATAGCTTGGTTCAGGTTCTTGTGGGAACATGAAGCCAAGGAAGCAGGTGGGTTTTGGAGCAGCGCCGGCCTGGCCTTCTGCTGTCCTCTCTCGTATTGCTTGGATTGTGTTTAGCCAGAGGCCATAACAATAAAGCACACAGGGAAAATAGAACTGCAGAGGGGAGGAGGGGAATATTAAAAAGAAGAGTTTAAACAGAGCTTTAAAAACATTCAGGTGGATTTGTACAATAAAAAGCAAAAAGATTTAGAAATTAGGATTCAATACAAGACTCTGAGTGACACTGAACATTTGATTTTCTCAAAAGAGTGGTGCAGTTTCTTAGTTGCCCTATTGGGCAGTGATGCCAGAGAGGAAAGCTATTCTTGGTTCCACACATAAGGGGCGGGGCGGCATGTACAGTGTGGTAGAAGTTTCTCAGCCTCGCCACAATTGCAGTCACAAATTTCATTGTGAGGTTGGCACACCGGAATGTCTCCCTTCCAGGCAACCTGGAATCTTAGTTCAGTAAAATCCCTGCAAAGCTGGGAATAGGTCAACCGCTAAAGATGATTTGCCCCACAATGTACTCCTTTGATCTTTGCAAGCCAGGATGAAAAATAAGAATCACAAATAACACACCACACCACCCAAAATCTTCACGGAAAACTCAGTTCTTCTGCACAGGGTTATCCCTGTATGTGATCAGGTTCTCCGTTGGGTGACTGCAATTCCGTGACCGGCTTTGGCAAAGCTGTGCCCAACTGGCTAATCTCCATTACTCGAGCCAGCGTTCCTTGACAGGCCATCCATCCTCCACCTCGTTCAGCTTCAGCCAATATCCAAAGCAAAGCAAGCCAATCCTAGAACTGATGGAGAATCATCCTCTTTTAGCTCTTTTAAGATCGGTGACCTGGTGCAGCAGGAGAAGTCCAGGGATATTCCTCATAATCTTGTTCTCCAGGGTCTCAAGCCTTGATTTGGCTAATTTAACTCCCAAGTTTCTGCCCTGTTCTATGAGCTGTGCTTAAAAGCCATCAAAATGAAACAGGCTAGACGGGGTGCGAGCCTTGTTTGTCAGAGTGAGGCACCGGAGGTAGCCCTTGGCAAGAATGGGCCGAGGGAGGAGGCCAGCCTAGGAGAGGGGCAAACGTGGAGGGTGTTTGGGTAGACTGCCGCGCACGTGCATGGCTGGGGGGGGGGGCGGAGGTAGCCCTTGGCAAGAATGGGCCGAGGGAGGAGGCCAGCCTAGGAGAGAGGCAAACGTGGAGGGTGTTTTGGTAGATTGCCGCGCACGTGCACGGATGGGGGGGGGCAAGGAAGAGTAATTCACGGCACGTGGGGGAAATGAGCAAAATATTTATCAGAACATGCAGGGGGAGGAGGAGTGGGGCACATTGTGCCATTGTCCCCCATTGCACTCTGCAAAAAGCTCTTTGGCTAGTCTGCTGGCATCTTGATCGTGCTTCTGCGGGTGGATCTGCTGGGAGCCATAAGGGAAAAAGTAGCTCCTTCCTCCTGGTCAGCCAGACAGGAGTGTCCCCCCCCCCTCCCAGGGCCTTGCTTCCCAGCAGCTCTTCTGCTGCTGCCGCCTGCAGAGGCCCTGCCCTCCTTGAGGGTCTCCATGGGTCCCAGTGGGGCAAAGGCCCTGTGGGTGGCTGAGAGGGACGGGGCAAGAGCTGCTGCAGGAAAGGGCAGGGGTGGCCGGACTGCCAAGGTCTCAGGAGTTGCCGGTTGCCTTCCTTCATAGTAGACCTGCTCGGTGGCTGTAGAACATCCCACCGTCGAAATAAGGTTAAAAGTGGGATAAAAATGATTTAAAGACATAAGGTGATGCCGACGCTGAGGTCTTGGCCAGTCACCATTTGTAGAAAGGGTAGGAAAAGTAGGTAGGCAGGAGCAGGACACCAAAGGGCGTCATCAGCGAAATTGCTAAAGTGCAGGAGATCTAGTACAGATAAGAAGAGGCGCTTCTTTTTCACACGGTGCTCTGTTAAGGGGTAGGACTCACTGCCCCGAGTGGGGGTAAGGGCAGCCAACACAGACAGCCTTAGAAAGGGAGAGAAACCGCTCCTTGGACACCTGACGTGCCTTGAAAACCCTGTTAGGGTTGGCCATCAGTCACAAGGGACTTGGCAGGGTGGAAAAAACCAACCATCTTGCATCCATGGAACACTTCGCTTTGGAAACTCTGCTGCTTGTCGGCTGAAGTACAGAACATCCCAAAGTTATTCCAGGTCGCCAGCCCAGCCCGTGAACAGCAGAAACCACAAGGAGCCTGGCAGTCGTTTACTGAGGGGGACACATTTTTTGGGGGGTATGTGTGGTTTTGTGAACTGCAGCCTGCTTCAAGACGGTTGCCTCTGAAGACTTGGCTCGCAGTCCACAGATGCTTCTGCTGATGGGCAGAACTCATTCGTTGCTCGGGGACCTCGGAACATCTGGTGACCACCAGCATGGTGGCCCCCGTGGTTGGTCATTCTGTGGAGCTTTTGCACAGCTTGAGCATAACTTCTTGTGCCCAAAGGTCAGCGTGGATTTGTTCTTCTCAGGGAAGACACAAACAGCGGGACGTTTGCTTGGGACTTGGACAGTCTGGCTTGCGGTGACCTTTTTGAGGAAGAAACGCCGCTTGCTGTGTCTCTCCAGTCGTGAGGCGCCACCTCTGGGGATGGCGGCGGCTGTTGATGGCTTGTCAGAGTCTCTGTTATGAACCACAGCTTCTAACAAAGGCAGGTCATCCGGGGTCGGCCGATTAGATTGAGGGCAGAGACTCAGCATGCTGTCTGCAGCCCCCCCCCCCCCNACTGTTGCAAACAAATGCCGGAGCCTTTCTGAGATGCTGGAAGGCAGAGCATAAAGGGGCAGGCTGAATTATTTTCCGAGTTGAAAATGCAAGGCTTGTTGAAGTGAAGCACCCACCGGGGAGCACATCTCCTTCAGCCAGTGGCTTTGCATACGATTACTGTACCAAGAGGAGCTGCAGGGAATGCTAAACGAAGGCCTCGGTCCTCACCCTGGATTTAAAGCCAGTGCATCTCCAGGCAGAGCAGGATGGAGACCCAGAGTGGGTAAAATCGCCAGCAATAACCCACAAGGAGAGGACTGCCCCTCCAGCGATGCAGAGCCATGCGTGGGAGGGAAGGATCCTGCCCCAACAGGGGCCTAGATTAGCAAAGGTGGTGAGGTCTTCTGGGGGAGCCAACGCCCTTCTCCAGATCCCTTTCGCTCAGGGGGAAGCCTCTGCCGTGGCCAGATAGCGGGCGCCTCCGTCTCGGCAGCAGAGGGGGTTGCCGCTCCGGAGGGCCCTTGGGCCAGCTCGGGGTTCTGCGTGCCAGCCGCAGCCGCCTGGAGCCTCCCAGGGGTTTGAGATGCTCTCTTTCCCTGCGTGTATCTTTCCGCCTCCCGCTCAGCTAGGCCCTGGGGGCAGAGAAACAAATCCTGCTTTCCTAAACGTGCTTGCCTCCCCGAGATGAATTAAAACCCGAGGAAGTTGAACTTCTGATGATCCTCTCCCTGGCGCAGCCATCTGCGGCTACATTCATCCCCCGGGGATTCATTGCCATTTACGATGATATGTTAAAACCCTGAGGATAAATGTTGCCATAAAGTCCCACTCCCTGGCCCAGCCAAGTGCCGGTTTTCCCTTTGCCTGCCTGCCTGCCTCTGCTCCAATCCAGGGTCCAGGGTGCGGGTTTTATCAAGGGTGGGGAAAGAGATGCTCCAGATTTGATGACCCCGTGGTCAGGGAGGAGGTCACCATTTTGGGGGAAGACATGTTGCATCAGTCACTTGGGGTGTGTGTGACAACTTGTGAGGCTCTGCCCAGCACTGCCTTCCTCCCGCTTGTAGGCACTGGTGGGGGGGGGAGATGTCTGTTTCCTTCTCAGTGGACCTGGTGGGGATTAGACGTGGATGTGCCCCTCTCCTCTTCCTCGGTGGACCTTAGCTACCTTGGTGGTGTGCAGGGCAGTCAGGGCTCTCCTGCCTTTGGGTTGGGAGAGCACGCCCCCACCAGTTCTGTTTTATAGCCATGGGGCAGGAATTGTGGGAAGACTGGTGAAAGAGACCAAGGGGAGAGGCAGGCGATCCTGGGGCAGGCAGGGCCTTTCTCCAATCAATCATGCGTCTGCCAAAATGTGGGTGCATCCAGTGCCCACTAACAGATAACCTTCCCAGTGACCCGCTGGGCTTGGGAGGGGGGAGAGAGCACGCCTCCTGCCCCCTTTATCCCAGGGGTTTTTCTAAAAGGAGAAACTTGCCCTTGCTTTCCTCTTGTGACTTAGGGACAGCTGCTGCTGGTGGCGGTGGAGGAGGAAGCGGCTTTTCTGTAGTTATTTGTCAAGAATTACGCAGGTGCCTTACAGTTCGTTTCGTTTAGTCGTGTCCAACTCTTCGTGACCCCATGGACCGGAGCACGCCAGGCCCTCCTGTCTTCCACTGCCTCCCGGAGTTGGGTCAGATTCATGTTGGTTGCTTTGCAGACACTGTCCAGCCATCTCATCCTCGGTCGTCCCCTTCTCCTCTTGCTTTCACACTTTCCCAACATTAAGGTCTTACAGTACATCCCGCCAAAGGAGAAAATGGGCTTCAGCTCCAATCAGGAGCTTCTCTGCTTGAAGCCCTTGATCTGTGTACGCTGTCCCTTCATGCAGGTTTTCTGTAAAAAAGGACCAGCAAGAATTCTAATCCTCCTTTAAAATCAAAGGCATTTTGGAAAAGTTGGCTTTTTGTTGTTTAGTCGTTAAGTCATGCCCAACTCTTTGTGACCTCATGGACCAGAGCCGCCAGGCCCTCCCGTCATCCACTGCCTCCCAGAGTCGGGTCAAAGTCATGTTGGCCGCTTCGATGACACCATCAAGTTGTGTTGCCCCCATCCCAAAACAAGGGTGTGGGTGTGGGTGTTTGCAGAGGGTGGCCACAGATGGCTGCAGGGAGAACAGGCTGAGTCCCCCGGAGCCAAGAGGCTGAACCCCCTTTCTCTCCTTGAATGTGCCAGGGAAAGGTTCCTGGAGCCCAGATCCTCTCCATTCTGTTTGGCTCATTGCTCACCTTCCTTGAAGGGGATGAATCAGGCCCAGGAGGGAGGGCTGGTTGCTAAGAGAAAAAGGTAAAAGACAGGGGGTGGGGGGGGAGAGTGGTCTCTCCGGCAATGCTGTGAAAAGGGCACAGGGATCACAACCTCCTTTTTGTTTCTTATGTCCTGATTTTTATCCTTGACAGCTGAATACGGCTGACATGGATCTCCTTAGTTTTTTATTTCCCTAACAAGGCTGTGAGGTTGGCCAGTGGTTCCCAGCCTTGCATCACCCAGGTGTGCTTGGACTCAAACGCCCAGAAGCCTTCACCCCAGCTGTGCTGTCTGGGGCTTCTGGGAGTTGTAATCCAAGAACATCTGGAGACCCAAGGTGGGGAACGGCTGGGCTAAGAGACTGTCCGTTTGTCCACAAAGAGGCTACCCAGGGTTTTGAACCCAGATCTCGGTCCCAGTTCAACACTGACCACGAAGACCATGCTGACTCTTTTTTTTTCTTTTCTGCTTTTCAGTGAGTGCCTGCCCAGTGCCAGGGAGAATGAAATGGCCTTTCTTTCTGCAGTAAGCATATCTCACTGTCCAAAGTAAAGAAGGGCTAATTATGATAAGGAAGGAACGACTCTTTGGCACCAGTAGTCTTTGCTGCTTTAAATGGGGCTGATCGTTCCAGCCGGCAGAGATGGAGGAGCATAAAATCCCGAGCCCATGAAAGGTTTTTGCTTGGCTGGGAAAGTTCCTTCAGGAGCCATTATCTGGGACACCTCCGAAACTGGGTTGCCTTTTCTGATGTGCAGGGAAGAGGTCAGGATTGATCATCTCGGAGAATCGTCAGGTAGTCCCTAATGAGCAGGAGTGCAGCCAGGTGCCTAGTGGAAGGGGAAAAGGAGCTGGTGGTTGTGCCAGCCACCCCCCCCAAGTTAAGGAACGGAAATGAGGCACTTCCCCAGCAGGTGGGGCAGACGGGGTGGCACCGCTTGGGGATATATATAAAAACACCCCCAAAACAATGCCTTAACTGCCAGATCTCCTTGCCTATTCTTGTTTTAAAAAATGAAGATGTGCCTCCCATAATACTTCTGTGATCCCGGTGGTCCCTGTTACCCAAAAACCCTTTCTGAGTATGGTCGGGGAGGCAGGATGGTTGTATATGCAACAAATGAATAAGCAGATTGCTCCTAGTAAAATCCATGTTCAACATGCAATCAACATGCATTCTTCCTGTTTTTTCACTAGCCATCTAATTAGGTGTGCATAGTTCCACCCACCTTCCTCCGAATGGATGTGGAGATAATGTGTGAAAACCTATTGAGTGGGATACACGCACGCATGCACACACACACACAAAGAATACTGTGAGGGCTTCTAATGAGAGTGAAGGAGATTCTCAGTGCAAGGGAAGAGAAGTGGTTTACTAGAGACCTGGAGAAAGAGAGAAAATACAGGGAAAAGGAAAAGCCTAAATACTGTACTGGATAGAGCAGTGGTTCCCAGCCTTGGGTAGCCCAGATATTCTTGGACTAAAACTCCCGGAAGCCCTCACCCCCACCAGCTGTGCTGGCCAGGATTTCTGAGAGTTGTGGTCCTAGGACATCTGGGAGACCCCAGTTGGAGAACCCCCGGGGTGGAGAGGCCTGCACCCGAAGGAGAACCCAGAAGGAAGGCGAACCCCTTCTCCAAAGAGAGTGGGGGTGTTTGGCAATCGCATCAGGATGCCGGCAGAGGGGGGGGGAGGTGGGAGGGCAAGCTTTGGGCAAAGTTTCGGGTCTCAAAGTGGGAGTTTGTTGTCTTTAGGATGTATAACTTCGTGGCACCTTTATAATGACCAGATTTATCTGAGTGTGAGCTTTCATGGATCCCAGTGCCGGTCTTCAAACACAAAAAAATTCTCTCGGTGCTCATGGGATGTGGGATTGTAGTGATGCCCCTGTGCGGCGTCAAACTGGAGCCCACACTTTCTCCTCTGGGACAACTGCCTGGAGGCTGGTTTTATTTTCCCCTCTTAGGAACAGGAGATTGCTTCTCCACCTTTACCAGCTGTATGTTTCATGGTACCACATGGTCTGTGGGATCCCGTTCAGGCTTGTGAAATTTATGTTTGGGTGTACAGGTCTGTCTTGTTGGCTAGCTTCCCGTGGTTCAGCCAAAGCCACATCAACCCTGCTCTTTAGGATTCCATAGGTAGCAAAAGCGAACATGTATCCTGTTTTACCTTAAAAGCACACACAACCCTTGGGCTTGTTTTCCTTAGCTTCCCTTACATATATCTATAGCTGTGGTGGATCTTCTGCAGGAGCTGACAGACATCGACACACTTCACGAGAGTGAAGAAGGAGCTGAGGTCCTGATCGACTCCCTGGTGAGTAGCTCATTTCCAGCTGGGCGAACAGGCTGGGCCAGGCCACTGGCCTCTTAACCAAGCACCCTTTTTGCTCAGGGGCCAGCAACATGCAGCTGCCGCAGCAGCACCTCCCCCCTCCTTTTAGCTCAAGCAAACTATCACAATTTAAACTCCCCCCCTCTTTCTAAGGGAAGCCCATTGTTTCAATTAACAAAATCTATTGCAAGAATCTTTTTTTTTAAAAAAAAAACAACCAACCAACGGTGGCAAATCAAAGGTGCAAATTAGACCCTTCAGCCTCATTGTTTTTGGAGCACAACCATGAGACTGCTACGAAATCTGTAAGGTGGCCCTCGGCTCCACTGAAATCATCTCATGCTGTTCTAGGCAGATCCCACCAGGCCACGGCTTTTTGGACGCCTCTCGTATCTGTATGAGTGTTCCCGAAGAAGGCCAGGAAAGAGGAAAGCGGGCCTTGGGCTACTTGCCATTCCAGTTTCCAGTGTGAGAAGCTTGGAGGCACTGCCTTTGGCAAATCCAAAGGAGAGAAAGGGTGGAAAGCAGAAGGCGCAACAGACAGAGCGTCCAGCGGGTCCTCTCCTTTGGGCTCACATGGCTCAGCAGGCCGCCAAAGCCTTTTCCTTGCCCTCTCACTTCCTTTTCCCCCCAGCTCTTGTGGTTTACTCGCAGAGATGGAGAATAAACAGTTGCGCCAAGGGGTAACATGAAAGAGAAAAGCCCAGTGACCTCTTAAAGAGGAGCAGATTTATTTCAGTGCGAGTTCTTTTGGATTACAGTCTACTTCCTTGGGCTTTATGCTCCCATGTGCCTGAGGAAGTGGTTTGTAGTCCATCCGCACTCACACGAACTAAAGTCCTGTTCCCATGTTTTTGTGCAGGTGGAAAGCAAGTGGCATAATTTTCACTTGCTTCCGGCCAATTAAGGAGTCAGCACTGCAGTTCTTGATGGTGAAGGGTCATGCTCTTGTTAGAATCCTAGCAGGGGATCCTTTAATCGCCAGCTGGGAGTGAATGAATGTTATGCCGTTTGCCTTTTGCCTATATAATGAAACAGGCTTTCAGCCACTGAAAAAATGTTGAATTATAACTCAAGGTGCCACAACACTTTGGGTTCTTTCCCCTCTCTGTTATACATTCTGAAACAGACTAGCCAAACTACCACTTTGAAAGCAGTTCAAAGGACTTCTTAGCTGTGTAAAATCATAGAATCATGAAGTTGAAAAGGGCCTCTCCCCTGCTCAGTGCAGGAATACAAATCAAAGGATATCTGCCAGGTGGTTGTCTAAAACTCTCTTGAATGTCTCCAGCGTTGGAGTGCTCACCACCTCTTGAGGTCATGAGTTCCACAGTCGTACTGCTCTAACAGTTAGGAAGTGTTTAACCGAAATCTGAGTTCCTGTAACTTGAGCCCATTGTTGCATGTCTTGCACTCTCAGATGATCGAGAACAGGTCCTGCCCCTTCTCTGTAGGACATCCTTTCAAGTATTTAAAAAATGTCATCGTATCATCCCTCAGTCTTCTTTTCTTGAGGCTAAGCATGCCCATTTCTTTCAGCCTTTCTTCATAAGGCTTGGTTTCCAGCCCCCTGATCCTCCTTGTTACCCTTCCAATTTGTCAGCATCCTTCTTGAAGTGCAGTGTCCAGAACTGGATACAGTTCTCTAGATGAGGCCTAATCCATGCCAATCCACCTTGCAGGATTTGGAAACTATTCTATTAGAATAGGCATCCTTCAGTCTCGAGAGACTATGGAATCGTGCTCTGCATGGAGGACTTGGAACAGCGTCTAGTGTGGCTGAGAAGGCCAGTTCGAGAGTGACCATCCCTTCCACACTGAAGACAAATAGTCTGTCCCCTGTCCAGCTCCTTGGTTTTGCTGCTTTCGGCATTGCCTCTTTGCCTCGGCCTGCTGGACAAGGGTCTCTTCAAATTGGGAGAGGCCGTGATGCACCACCTGCCTCCAGGCTGAATGCTTGGATGTCAAGGTTTCCCATCTGTTGAGGTCCTTTCCTAAGGCCTTCAGATCCCGCTTGCAGATGTCCTTGGATCACAGCTGTGGTCTCCCTCTGGGGCGATTTCCCTGCACTAATTCTCCGTATAGGATATCTTTTGGAATCTGACCATCAGCCATTCTCATGACATGCCTAAGCCAATGTAGACATAGCCAAGATATACTACATCTACAGCATTCTCTCTGTCTATCAGGGAGGTTACCCAATTAAAGAGAGAGAGAGAGAGAGAGAGAGAGATCAAATTAGTTTGGCAGGATTTGTTCTTGACAAATCTGTGCTGGCTTCTAGTTATTACCGCCTCGTTTTCTAGGTGCTTGCGCAAGGTTCGCTTTACGATCTGTTCCAGAATTTTGCCTGGGATTGAGGTCAGGCTGACTGGCCTGTCATTCCCAGGTTCCTCTTTTTTGCCCTTTTTGGAGATAGGGACAACCTTGGCCCTCCTCCCATCCTCTGGCACTTCACCCGTTTCCTATGGTTTCAAGAAAATTATGGACAGCAGTTCTGAGTGTTCTTCAGCCGGTTCCTTCAATACTCTCGGTTGCAGTTCATCCGGCCCCTGGAGTTTTGAACTCCTTCAAGGTGGTGAGGTATTCCTTGACTATTTGTTTATCACTTTCCGTCTCCAATACTATCCCCTCCACTTGCACTTCACATTTGTCTGGAGGGTCATCATCTGCCCTTAGGGGAAATAGTGAGCTGAAATAGGAAAACACATCCGTCTTTTTCATAGAAATTTCCCTCCTTGGAATATACCGTATTTTGGGGGTTTTGGAGGGAGAAGGAGGGTTTCCTTTTTTTATTTTGTATTTTTTAAGGAAAGCCATTCAGGTCAAGGAAGAGATGCCAGCCACATTTGTGATAGTGACCAAGTACCTTTTCTCTTTTCAAAGAGTAGGGATTGTTGTATAGATGCCAGACACATTTGTGATAGCGACCAAGTACCGGTATCCTCTTCTCTTTTCAAAGAGTAGGGATTGTTGTACTTTTGACAAATTGGACGAGAAGGGGCTTATGTGTGTACTGATAGTGTGGGTTTCAGCTGCTGTGTGGCAGTGGAGAGGAAAGGAAGCTGCTATCTCTTCTGCCTTGTCGTTGCAATGTTACCTTCCAGAGGTTAATTACAGTTGTCCTGAATGAGTCCTTCTGGCTAACCTTTGAGGTCTTTTAATTACCGACTCTTGCTTGCAAGGGGAGGCTGACTGGCAGCGATGGGGAGAGAGGAATTTGGTAGAGAGATGATGGTGTTCTGAATCTCTTGCGCCGGGATGGTATAAACCCGCACAAAATCTTCCTTGGTGGTGGTGGTGGGTCCTTTCTTTCATCCTGATAACATTAGCTAAATTTGGAGAGGATTTTACTTCCTGCCTGGCATGTAATGGGTCATATCTGACCTCTGAAGGGCTTCTTTTTATTCTACCCAGATCATGAGTCCTTGGGTATTTTAGCTAAGCACGCTAAAGTGTTTGCTGGAACAATTCACACTCTGTTGTCGCATGTGTTCTAGGACTACGTACTTGCAAGGGAGCCCCAGTCTCTAGAATTGTGAGTGGCATCCTCTGAGGATTCAAGCAGGAGAAGAAAGCATAGAAGGCACCCTTCTGAGGAAATGACTTTCTTTCTTGAGTCCCATCAGGAGGGTTTGCCAGGGTTTGTTGTCCATTGACCACCAGTGTGTGCACGACGTCTCTCAGAACCCCTCACCGTGGGCTGGGCTGGTGGCATCTGCAACCCAAAACCTCTGGAGGGTACGTTGTAGCAGTCCATAGGTTCATTGAGACCAGCTTAGTGACTTCATGACCTTCCTAAGGTCCTATCATCAACACAGGTTTTACACACCCGAGGGCATGGCTCGGTTGTTGAATCAGTCCACCAGCCCGTCTTCTGAAAGATCTTTCTCTTTTCCTGCTGCCTTCCAGTTTTCTTAACATGATTGTCTTCTCCAGGGAGTCTTATCCTCCCATGATGTACCATAGGCTCAGTTTAGTTATTTTTGCTTCTCAAGAGTTCAGGTTTGATTTGATCTGGAACCTACCTACTTGTCTTGCCGGTGGTCCATAGGATCCATAAAGGTCGCCTCTCACCCTATATTTTCATAGAACATTAGATTAATGGAAGGGGCCTCTAAGGCCATCAAGTCCAACCCCCTGCTCAGTGTAGAATCCAAATCAAAGTAGATCCAACAGATATTTCTCTTTTCTCTTGATTGCCTGCAGTGTTGGAGCCCATGTCACCTTCTCAGGTGATTGTCAGGTAATTAGGAAGTTTTCCCTGATATTCAGCCGAAATCTGAATATCTGCAGTAACTGCATTTCGAAAGAGGTGATTTTTCTCCCCCGATGGGTTTCTTCGTTGTCCACAGTATTTGAGAGTGCCACAATATGGATGATTTTCACCTTAGTCTCCAGCAACATATCCTTATGCTTAAGGATCTTTTCTACTTCCTTCAGTCTCCTCTTTTCTTGGCTGCTGTCTCTGTTTTGATTGGTCATTGAAACAAGGCTTAAAAAAAGTTCTTCAACTGTTTTGACTTCTTCATTGCCAACATTGAAGTTATGTGATTTTTTATGAAGTCTCTTTTTGTCTTCTTCCGGTTCATCTGTAATCCTGCCTTTGCACTTTCTTCTTTCGATTTTTTATGAAGTCATTATTTTTGTCATCTGTAATCCTGCTTTTGCACTTTCTTCTTTAACCTCCCATCAGTAGCTAGAACTAGAATTTACTTTATTATCATTGTACATCCGTACAACAAAACTAAATGCCGTCTTCAGTACACATAATGATAAAACACACCAGAACATAGCATCCATAACATGAAAACATAGCACATTACACATAAAACACATCCCTCTCATTCACATCCGGATCCTTCATATTCAATTTCCCATCGCACAACACATTAATGTTGCCCTATTCAGTGGAATTCAATATAGCTGCTGTTCTGGGATAGAAACTGGTAATTCAAGTCATTGTTAATTTTTTGCCAGTAATATGGTATCATCTGCATAACTTCGATTACTGGTAATTCTTCTACCAACAATTTTTAGTTTTCCTTAATCTGAATCTAAACCATCCTTCCTTGTGATATGTTCTGCATACAGACTGAACAGGTTGGGAAATAACATATACACCTATAGGATGCATCATATAGAGTAAAAAAACACCCTCATTTGTTTTGGAATGATCCATGGCTTTTAATTCTTCAAAGCCTTTGCTGTATGGATTTTCCTCTGAAGTTCTTTTGTATGCTTCAGCAGCTAATATATATTTGCAGTATGATCTCTAGTGCCTCTTCCTGTTATGAAATCACCTTGAATATGGGGTGTTTTTGGCTCCATATATGGTAAAAATCTTTATTGCAGAGTCACATCTTTCCTTGCATGGGAAATTAATGTCAATGGTCCGATAGTTACTGCAATCTTAGGTGCTCCCTTACCTTTGGATTGGAATATATAGTGAACATTTTCAGTCTGTGGATCATTGCTTTGTTTCTTACACTTGTCACCATTTTCTTGTTAGGATTTGGACAGTTGCGTTCTCTTTAGCTTGAAAAAGCTCCATTGACGTCTAGTCTTGATGCTTTGTTTCTCCCAATTGCTTTGAAAGCAGCTTTCACTCCACCTTCTAAAACTACAGGTTCCTTAGGAAAGGATTCTCCTCTGAAGAAAGCTGTTGTTTTTTTTTTATCTCTTCTGTCTAGTTTTCAGTCTATTGCTTCCACCTTCACTTTATTTTATCCTGAACGGATGAAACGTCCCCATGTTGTTGTTCTAGCATCCCTAACCTAGGTTAAAATTCCCCTTTGATTTCTTGGCTCTTCTGAAATAGCTTGCTTGCTATTCCATTTTCTTTAAATTCACTTCTATTTCTTTATGTGGTTGCTGTTAGAGGAGATATTTGTCCCTTTGTGGCATTATCCCGAATTGTTGTTTTTAGGATTCTAAACCTATCTCCAGTTTTCTTTTACTTCTGTTCCTCATGTATTAAGAATGTTAATAGTTTCATCCATCATCCATTAAGGCCTGTCTTTTCTTCTGGAGTCGGTATTTGGTTTATGTGTGCGTGTGTGTGTTTGTGTTTGTCTGTCTGTGTGTGTGTTTGTTTTTGGTTGTTGCATTCTCTGATTTGTTGCATATCTCTGGTTTGAATCTACAGCTCTTCTGGTTCTCAGCTGGCTGAGTTTAGTAGGTGCAAATAAGTTCTCTCTGTATAATCTTTAAATTCTTCAGGAATGTTATGTAAATGTTATTTTGACATAAGGTTCTTCTGGTGTCTATAAAATATGGATTTTCCTCTGAAGTTCTTTTGTATGCTTCAGCAGCTAATATGTATTTGCAGTATGATCTCTAGTGCCTCTTCCTGTTATGAAATCACCTTGAATATGGGGTGTTTTTGGCTCCATATATGGTAAAAATCTTTATTGCAGAGTCACATCTTTCCTTGCATGGGAAATTAATGTCAATGGTCCGATAGTTACTGCAATCTTAGGTGCTCCCTTACCTTTGGATTGGAATATATAGTGAACATTTTCAGTCTGTGGATTGTTTTTCTTCCGCTGTGCTGTAATTTTGGATATTAACAAGCTGTAGTCAGGAACACAATCTACTCTTGGTCTTGTTTAGACAGAGGGAGCAGAGCTTCTCCATCTACTATCTCCAGTTACGTAGTCAAACTGATTTCTATGTTGGCTGTCTGGTGAGGCCCACGTGTCCAGCTGTCTCTTGCCTTTAGTATGTGTTGGCAAGGAGAACTCTGCAAGTCATCTTCCTGCACTGCTTGGTTTCCTAGAACAAATTTTCCAACAACACATGGTTCTGCTTCATTTCCTACTTCTGTGTTCCAGTCAGTATACCCTGTTTTGGCATGTGATCAATTTTCCTGCTGGACATTTGCATAACACCTTTCAATTTCTTTTTCTTCCCTCCCTGTAGAAGGAGCGGAGACTTCAGTGAAGGTTATGTTGGCAGGCTGTCAAAGAAGCTTCCCTAATATCGTTTAGGCAGAGTTTACATGACAGACGGTAACCCCTTGGGCTTACCTTGTGCCTCACTATCAAGAGACGCCCTATTTCTTCTGGATCCCTCGTTTCCAGAGTAAAACCTTTCTACCTGATGGAAAATGCCCTCGTCCAGTCCACTTGGCTTGTTCCAAGTATTACAGTGTTTATAAATGTTCTATTTTTAGTTCTGCATTCTGTTTCTCAGCTTTTCATAGACAGGGCTGTGGGGAGAGATGACCAATAGTCTGACTCGCTACAAGACAGCGCCCTTTCTTTTTCAATCCAGCAAAAGGCTGCTCTGATACAGCAAGGTTCTTGACCTGGCTTCCTCCCTCTCTGTGCTTGGAAGACGGGTTATTCTCTGTTAGGAAATGTTGTGAAATAATCGTGTTTGCCTTGCTTCTCATCTTCCCTGCAAAAATCCTTGAATGTTCTTTTTAGTTAAGCTGCGCCTTTCCATTTCCTTCTGCTTTTCCTCCTCAGTGCCAGAGTCCCATCTTTCCTTTCCTTCCCGTCGCTCTTCCACAACCCCCCCCCACCTTGTGCCACCTAAAGCCTGTTGACCACGGCTGAGCCTTGACAAGAGGCCACAGCATCACCTGGAGGGGCATCCAGGTTGAGGCTGGGGATGTTACAGCCACCTTGTGTCGGGGGCCAGGCGGCAGCAAAGCCCCGGGGATAAGCTGCCCGTTTTGGTCACGCCATTGCCTAGCCTGTGCAGGGGGAAAAGAAAGTGGGTCGGTCCAGACGGTAGTTGCCCTTTGCAAAAACAGTTGTGATCCCCGCTATTTGTCTTGACTTGGGAGAACGGTGCTGCTCATTGCATGCAACTCGTTCCTGTGGTGACGGAAGTTACCGCGTGATTCTTGCTCTCCTCGACGGTTTCTGCACATGTTGTGCTATAAAGTCCATGCTCAGACAGCTGTGTTTCTGAAGAGTTGCAGTTGTTCTGTGTGCTGCCGCAATGAAGCTGAGCCTTTCTGAGCTCATAACACAGAGGTTTGTCTGCCCTGCTGCAGTGAAGGCTCTGCTCACTAGCTGAGTTCAATCCTGGGCTCACGTCGCTGGCTTGAAATAGACGCAACTGTCTATCCTTCTGAGGTCGGTAAATTAAGTACCTAACTTGCAGGCGGGTGGGAACATGTAGCCCGGATAATTAAAATCGTATAAGCATCACACTAGGCTTTTTTGCTTTGATTTTGAGTGCTTCCCCCCCCCCCAAAAAAGTCTGAATTCTACTGGTTTGTTCCTTTGTTACTCGCTTCGGGCTCGGTCATGAGCACCCTTGCCAGTAGTCTCTTTGCCAGCATCCTGTGGATGTGTGTGGATGTGGGGGGGCCTGGTGCAATCTCTTTACATGATTGGGGTGAAGGGGGTTTTTTAGAGTTTTGAGTGGCTCAGCAGAAAAGGCCCAGATCAGAGAAACCAAGTAGCAGATGTTCTGTTGATCAATCTGGAGCACCCACGTCCACCACAAACTCACAGCACCTGAGTTTTAAAAAGAGCCAGGCTGTTTTAATCAGAGAGAATGGCCTTAGGCAGCACTAACTAGGCCGGTGTACCTAATAAAAGGCACAAAGTGGTCGTTTGGTGTGTGTTTTTTTCCCTCCCCTTTGAAAAAGGGGACGCTCCTTCCCTAAGGCTTTCATTATGCATAATTGCTTGGGTGTTGGATCCTGCTCCAGCCGCTTCCCCGTCAGAGCGGCGGCGCGTGCGGCAGAGGCGATCCTGCGCCAACTGCCGCCGACTGTTGACTCTCGCGGAGCCACTTTCAGGGCTGACAGGCAGCGGAGGCCCCGTTGGGAAGTCCTGCTTGGCAGCTTGGAAGGCAGAGAGATTATAAGTCAATCAGGACTTGATTTGGGGAATCACAGGCTCGTCACAAGGTTCATATTCTTCAGATGTTTTTTCTGTTCTGCCTGACTCAGAAAAATGGCCCAATTAATTAAGGTGTGTGTGGGGGAAACAGAGCAGTGGAGTTTGCTGGGGGAGTTTGCTGCGGCGGGAAGATGGTTCCCTTCTCGGAACGTTCTCTCCCCGGAGCTGTTTTTGTTCCTGTAGGGCTTGATTTCTGCTCTTCTGCCAACTTTGCTTGGGCAGCTCACTTGCCCCTCCCCAGCCCTGCACCCCCACCTCCTCCCTTGACCCTCTTCCTCTCCTTTGGCCCAGGTGGAAGGACAGGTGGTAGCCTTGCTGGTGCAAAATCTGGAGCGTCTGGATGAAAGCATCAAGGAGGAGGCTGACGGCGTGCATAACACTTTGGGTAAGGAGATCCTCCCCAGTGTGGTGGAAGGTGGTGTGGCTGGCCCAACCAAGGAGGAGGTAGGTAGGACGGACGGACGGACAGACAGCCTTCTGAGGCGGAGGGAGGGAGGGAGGAAGGAAGGGAGGGAGGGAGGAAGGAAGGAAGGAAGGAAGGAAGGAAGGAAGGAAGGGAGGAAGGAGGTAGGTTGGTAGGTAGGAAGGACGGACGGACAGACAGCCTTCTGAGGCTCTGCAGTCCTGGGAATGTTCCTAAAGAACATCCAAATGTTGACTGTTACCCAAACAGATTTTCTGAAATCTACAGACAAGCCCCCCCCCCCAGTCATCCTCACGTTCTCTCCTCCAGGCCCATCTTGGGTCTTTTCATAAACGTCATCAATGTGCATTTGCGTGCGCGTGCACACAGACACAGACACACACACACACACACAGACACACACCCCTCTAGAAAGAGGTTTGTCCTTGGAGAAGGAATCCACCAGAGCACATGCCTGATCTGACAGTCTGAGAGCTTTAAATCAAGCAGACAGGATCTGGCTCAGGTGGCTGGCTGTTCTCTGAGTGCCCTTAAATTATCCACTCTGTGATCCTGGGCGTCTCGTGGCTGGCAAGGGGCTGGGCACTGCTCCACCCCTCTTGTTTGTTCCAAAGCGACTGCCTCTTTGCCCAGGTATCCGCTGGAAGGGAGCAGCTGCCTTTCCGCCTTCTGTTTCTGAGTGGAAGTAATGAGCGGAGGCTTCCATGCAGGCTGACGCTTCCCTTGAATTGGCAGGTTCTCCCTAAGCAGCCCATTAAGCTCTCTCCTGTGCACGTTAATTGGCCAGAGAGGCCCCTTCGAGGTGCTCGTCGTTGTGTCTCCTTTGAGTTATAGTCCTGCCTTGAGCAGGGGGTTGGACTCGATGGCCTTAGAGTCCCCCTTCCATTATTCTGTGGACTCCCATAGAGACCTCCATTATCGCTTTGCCCAGATATTCACTGTAAAGAGGAGAAGAGCGACAGCAGGCTAGGGAAATACCTCCAAGCACGTACTTTATAAGCATTAAAATGGTAATAATAATAATAACAATGGGGGAACTTCAAGGGTCTTCCAGTCTCCTGATTCCCAGGTGGGAAAGCCAAGTTCTGTGGCTATGAGAAGAGCGGCACAGCCCCACAGAGTTCATGTGCTTTTTGAACGACTCTCTCTTTCCCCCTCTGATCCACTCTGGGCCCAAAGGCTGGGAGACAGCTTGTCCCCTTTGAACAAGGCAAGATGGAAAGGAACGCCCTCGCCGGGCGTGGAAGTGCTGTCTCTCGGTTGCCTTGTAGAGAGCGACACCAAAGCCCTGCCATCGTGCCGTGCCTGAGCCATGCTTCAGAGGGGAAGAGACGAAATCATTCTCCTCCTCTTTGAAAGTGGCACTCTCCTCATTAATGCCAATTCAAGGAGCGCCACCCATGTGGGTGAGGGCCTCAGAACTGGGAGGAGCCGCAGGACGACAGGAAGTGCTCTTGACTGTGAAACCGGGGGGGGGGNCTCGGGGCTGACCGCCTCTTTCTTCTCTTTTCCCTGCGCTCAGCGATCATTGAGAACATGGCAGAGTTCCGGCCAGAGATGTGCTCGGATGCGGCGCAGCAGGGCCTGATGCAGTGGCTCCTCAAGAGGCTGAAGGTGAGCACCCGGCACGATCATTGGGCGATGGAGGCATGTGTGTCGTTTGCCTCCGTATATATGGGAAGCGGGCTGACCGCCTCTTTCTTCTCTTTTCCCTGCGCTCAGCGATCATTGAGAACATGGCAGAGTTCCGGCCAGAGATGTGCTCGGATGCGGCGCAGCAGGGCCTGATGCAGTGGCTCCTCAAGAGGCTGAAGGTGAGCACCCGGCACGATCATTGGGCGATGGAGGCATGTGTGTCGTTTGCCTCCGTATATATGGGAAGCAGAGGGGAAATGCTAAAACCAGACTTTCCTGCCTTGTTTGTGTGCTCCTTCCTCAGTCACTCACCCCAAAAGGATTTGCCTTTTGCATGTCTTCATGGTGGCAGCACACGGCACATTGCGTGCCGTCCCTAGGTACTGTGTGACACTTTCTTTGGCCTTCAACCAAGATGGCCTTCTTGCTTCTAGACTGGTCTGTTCCTCCACATTAGAAATGTTCGTGAACATTCCGTAGCATCTCAGCAGCTGGTGGCTTGAGGTATAGATGGGAGTGGCAGGCTAGACCATTGGAGATGGGCTGAATCTGAGTCACAATTTAGATTTTGTTTTCTCCCTTTTGGATAAACTCATAGCTGTACTTGGGCCATGCAAGGCCTTGGTTTTACGTTTGGCAAGATTTGTAGTCTTTTCATCCAATACAAAAACGCCCCTGTGCGCTCATAAAGAGAAGGTTCTACTGACTGCAGAAATCCACAGATGTTCCTTATGATTCTGGGATCTTGAGATCAGAACCAACCTGGTTGTGGGAAGTAAATCCCTATGTTTTCTGCTTTTTCTCAGAAAAACCCATTTTCGTCTAATTGTGTTCATGCCAGGTCCCTCTAGAGCATAAATCCCTTCTCCTCTTTGAAATTCTGACAATTTAGAAACTTGGGCAAGAAGTTAATAGCAAGGTGGCTTCTCCAATAGTTCCACCTGCAGACTTCCTGGAGCTTGGTGTACACTTTACCATTTCCCTCTTACCGTTTCCCAGACAGGAACATTCAGCTGGGCTTGATGGTGCATGACCAGGATTTGAGACCTTTTTGTGTGTGTGTGTGTGTGTGTGTGTGAGTGTGTGTGTGTGTGTGTGTGTGTGTGTGTGTGTGTGAGAGAGAGAGAGAGAGAGAGAGAGAGAGAAAGAGAGAGAGAACTGTTCCTTTGGACTCAGGGCAGCGGGTGGTCACAGATAGAATTTGCCTCTCCGCTGCATCATAAGCTGGCAGGCCCATTTGCCTTTGTCCTCCTTTGCCCGGGCAGCCTGAGTGCCCGACCGCCCCAGAAAGCCACCCGGCGTGCTGCCTCTCTGGGCTAGCCTGACTCTTGGGATGGGGAATCGGCCTTATGCAAGCTGTGCTGTTGACGCCTCAGCCCTCCCCTGTTGATAAAGTGGGGCAGGTGGAGAGAGAAACAAATCCCCAGGATAAGGCTGAGATAAGCAATTTTTTGCAACCAGCTTGTTTCCTCTTAACCTTTTTGTGCAGCTCCCATTCATTTCAAAGAGACTTGCTTGGGAGATATTCCTGGTGATGGATTCCTCCCCCCCCCCCC